TTCCAAATGCAAGAGGCCCACATTACTTTTAGAGCCTGTTTTAAAAAATGTATCAGGACAGGCTTCCCGAACAGGTCAACACTGACACAGAGGCTTAGAGCAAGACTGCCGTGGCCTGGGGACCAGTGAGTTCTGAGCCCTGAGGCCGAAGCCCACCTGAAATGTTCAGGACCAGCTGGGGGCCAGGTCGTGGGGCAGAGGGGGAGGTTCCGGTGTCTTTGTTTTGCATCTTGCTTAGAGAGGTTTTGCCTCTTGGCGTTCTGAAAAATGTCCTCCTCTGTTTTATCTACACACTGTTGTAGTCTAAAATTTTACTCGTAGCTCTTTGTTTTAACTAGACTCTACTGCTGTGTATGGAATGAGGTGAGGTTGTAAAATTACTTCTGATGGACAGCCAACCATCCCAAGGTCATTTATCGAACAGATATGCTCAGAGGCCATCTTTACCACAAACAGAGTTGTCATTTATACAAGGGCTTGTACTCTCATTTTATGGATCTACTTTTCTGTTTCTTTTGGTACTATATGACTTTAGCCACTGTAATGTTTAAGATGTTTGATACTTTTATTTTCCTTAGATTCTTCTGTACTTTCTTTTTTTAAGACATTAATTTTTTTAGTAATAGTTGGACACAATATCTTTATTTTTATGTGGGGCTGAGGATCAAACCCAGTTTCTCATGCTTTTTTTTTTAATATTTATTTTTTAGTTGTAGTTGGACACAATACTTTTATTTTACTTGTTTATTTTATTTTTTGAATTTTTTGGTGTAGATGGGCACAATATAATGCCTTTATTTTTATGGTGCTGAGGGTCGAACCCAGGGCCTCACACGTGCTAGGTGAGCGCTCTACTACTAGCCACAACCCCAGCCCCGTGTATTTTCTTATACAGATGGACTTGGGAACAAACTTACCAAATTTATAGAAAAAAGTTGGGGAACACATAACATGTAGGTTAATTTGGGGAACTCTGACATCTGTAGCAGTTGATACCACCTAAAAACAGTGTGCTCCTGACCATCCCCACCCCAGGACTTCTTATATCATTGAGAAAAGATTGAGTTGGGTTTTTTTCCCTCAAATAATATACGTACATTTCTTCTAAAATCTATTTCTACACATTTGTCAGTTTGTTTGTTATTGTTTGGCTTCTGGTGAATAAGATTGAAATCTCTTATAATTTCTAGTACTTCTTCAGGAGGAATGTCTGCCCATAATGGAAATTTTAATTTCCTTCTTTCTAATTCTTATTTTATTTCTCACCTTATTGTTTTGGCTAGGACGGCCCATGAAATGTTGGATAGCAAAGACAATAATAACCAATATCCTTTTCCTGTTCCTGACTTGAGCGAGGGTGCTTCTAATGGGTCTCCGTGGGAAACTGTATTTGCGGTGATCTCTGGTGACTACTGAATTAGAGGACTAGTTGGGATGAATAAACCTCAAAAATACCTGGGCTAAATCAAATAGGCGCTCACTTTGCTAATTTCCTTCTCAGGTGAGTGTGCTCAGCGGGAGCCTGGCAAGCAGCCCAAGGAGCTCTGCTCTTGGGGCAGCTAGAGGCCCAGGGCAACGGGCTTCCTCCTTAGAACCGTGCCACGGCCATCGTAGGCGTCACATCCTTCACCTTCGCTCACAGACCCGGGCTTGACCTTCATCACCTGACCACACCTGGCTGCAGGAGGCCGGGGAGCTAGTCTCCAAGTCAGTAGCCACAGACCCAGCTCACCTGGGGATTCGGCCCAGCTGCACGAAGGCCGAGTGACTAGAAGATTACAGCAGTCTCTGTCTCAGCGCTCTTAATCAACTTAAATAAAGGTCCTTCTATTTCTACTTAATGAGCAGTTTATTTCTAAAGCTGGGTTAGATGCTCAGTTTTACCATATCCCACATCCCCAGCACCTTCTGAGGGGTCCAAGTGAGTTTCCTCCTTTAATCTGTGAATGATGTGCATTTCCTAAGGTGGAATCACATGAATGTTCCTGGGATTGGTCTCCACTGCAAGTGACCTGATTCCCTTAACAGACCATTGGTCACACTTTATTCGATTTCTGAGTTGATAAATGACACTGATGTGTAGTATTCTTTAATCTGGTTTTTAGGATCAGGGCTATACCAAGCCGAAAGGATGAACTGGGAAGCTTCTTGCCCTATTCCGTGTTCTACACTGCTTGATATAGCTGAAATCATTGGTTGAAAGGCTGGGAGAAAATGCGTTTGTTCCTAAACACATCTGGCAGGGCGATTGTCTTAGGGAGAGGTCTTTGGCGATGGTGGTAGACACTGCTAACTGTGCATAATAACAATTCTCCCCTTTTTTTCCTAAAATAAGAGAACCCGCAATTTGTAGCTGGATACAAATGCCTGGAACAAGACACCTTTCCTAGCTTTCCCTGTGGCTAGCGGTGGCCATCTTTCCAAGTGCAGGCTGTGAAGGCTTCAGAGCTCAGACTGGGTATGTGGGTGAGGTTCCTTTGCAGTCTCTGGCACGAGGCCTCCAAGGAGTGTTCTCCTTCTCCCCTCCGTTGCTGCTGGAAGGGGAGCCTGGGGGCCAGTCGTGGGGGACAAGCTGGGAGGGCAGATGCATGAAGCAGGAGCAGCCTCTGTCACGGGTGAAGCCGCTGCACCAACCTCTGAGTGGTTTAGAGGAATTCATCTTCTCTTTGGTTTGAGCCATGGGTTTTGTCTGTTTGTTTGCTGCTCTGACAACTGAGTCTACATGTAGTTAATACAAGCCACTGCTTTATAACATCTCTGGCTATTGGTCTATGATTTTCTGTTTCTTTTTAAGGTAAGACTTTTTTGTAGAAAATTATCTGCGTCACCTGGATTTTCAAATGTATTAGAATATAAATGTAGGAGATACTGTCATTTGAAACATCTCTGTGTAGTGATGCATCTTTCTCATTCCTGTTACGGATTTGTTTCTCTCCTCCCTTCCGGCTTCTCCTCTCCCAGCATCTCTTTTCCTGACTTCTTTGCAAACACACCAGGGATGCCTCTCCATCCGGGCACCTGCACCTGCTGTTCCCTCTGCCGGGATTGCTCTTCCCAGCTGTCTTCGTGGCTCGACCCTCCAGAGTATTCAGGTTTTACCAGAATGTCCCTGCTCAGGAGCTCTTCCTGCCTGTGCTGTTGAGACCTGCAAACCGCCCCACCTGGGCTTGTGTCTCCTCCTCTCTTGCTTTCTTCCCCTTTATGTGGTTCATCAGCGTTGACACGTTTAGATTGCACTAGCTTGCTTATTAACCGTCTCCCCGCCTCTGCCACCCTATGCCCCCTTGAGGTCACAGGGGTGCTCCAGAAGTCTTCAGTGACTCGGTGGCGAAAAGAACGTCCCCTCCACGACTCCTTCAAGTGCGTGCGTTGACCGGTTGTCTGTCTGCTGTCCCCCTATTTTGTTCATTTCTGCCTTATGTTCATTAATTTCTTCCTTCTACTATCTTCAGGTTCATTACAGTTTCTGTCTTTCCTGTTTTCAAAGAGACAGTGTAGGCTACAGGTTTTCCTCTGAGTATTATTTTGGCTGCAGACCAGGGCTCTCATTACCTAATGTTCTCATTACTGTGCACGTCTAAACAGTTTTTTTTTTTTTGGGGGGGGCACAGTTAGAGCAATTGAACTTAGGGGCACACGACCACTGAGCCACATTCCCAACCCTATTTTGTATTTTATTTAGAGACAGGGTCTCACTGAGTTGCTTAGTGCCTTGCTTTTGCTGAGACTGGCTTTGAACTTACAATCCTCCTGTCCCAGCCTCCCAAGCCACTGGGATTACAGGCGAGTGCCACTGTGCCCAGCTAAATAGTTTTTAATTTTGGTTTGCTTTTCTCTTTAACTGATGAGTTATTTAGAAAGGCATGTTAATCTTTTGAGGCAGATAGAGTTTATTTAGCTGTCCTAGTTGTTGTTAACTCCTCAATTTAGTGAATTGTGATCAGAAAAGTGGCTTATATAATTTCTTCTTCCTTTTTTTTAAGCCCTTCTATCTAGTCTACTTTATGATCAGATTTTATGACTATTCCATAATAAAAATATGTATGCTTTTCAAAGAATATGAATTCTCTGAATTGTATTGTGTTGGCTAATTGTGACATGTATTCTGTGTTTCTATTATATCACGCTTATTACATGTGCTATTTAAGTCATCTATGTATTTCTATATATTTCTTTCTTCCTCTATTTGATTTATTTATTTTTTAATATTTAGTTTTTAGTTATAGGTGGACACAATACCTTCATTTTATTTTTATGTGGTGCTGAGGATTTAACCCAGTGCCTCACGCATGCTAGGCGAGTGCTCTCCCTCTGAGCCACAACCCTAGCCCCTGATCTACTTATTTTTGAGACATGTACATTAAAGATTTCTATTATGATTTTAAATGAGTGGATTTCCTGCTTTATTCCTGCCTTTTTTGGTAATTAAAATTTTCAAATCTTGTTATGTGCAAAAGTTTTATAGCTGACACATTTTATAAATTATACATTCTTCCTGGGGGAAATATTACTTCTTCCTGTTTCCCATTTGATTTTAGGCAATAGAACTACTCCCTTTCCCTATAGCTGCTGCATCTTTTCTGGTGCCTTTACTTTCAGTCTTTTCATGTCATATTTCAGTCCTGACTCCTATAAGTGACATGTCTATACTTAAACAAAACAAACCTCACCCAAGCCTCTGAATTTTAATATAAGAATTTAATGCATTCACGTTTATTTCCCCTCACATTCTCTTGGGCTTTCCAGCTTCTGTGGTTGGTGCTGTCCCGTCTCCCTCCACCTTTCCTGGGAAAGCCTGTTATTACTTTTCTTATCATTTACAAGTTGTACCTCGAATTCGTCTTCATTGCTGTTACCTGTCATTGTTAGCACATACCTTTAGATACATATTCCTGGCATCAGGGCCCAGCAAGCGGCACTACTCTCTTTTTTTTGTGTCCAGAATTTTATGGAGTCGTTCTCTTTTCATTGCTAAAACATCCTTTTTCCTTTAATTCTAGGGATGTTGGTGGCAGGAGGCATGGGCCATATACATGCCCGGTGAAGCCCATGGAAGAGATGGGTTGATAATTCTACCTTGTTCCAACTCTACACAGCTTAGTTAGAGTGGAAAGTGCTCTCGGGATGACAGCAGTTTTCATGCTGAACGGCAAGACATCCAGGACAGCGGAAGGGGTGAGTGTTAAAGGCCCACACAGAGGCAACAGAGATCAGCACTGAATCACAAAAGGACAGAGCTTCTGGTCTTCAGGCAATGAGAGCAAAGCCAAAGGAAAAGCAGGATGGATTTAACTTGATTAAAATTCACATTTTCATGTTAAAAATTATATGAAGACTAAATGTCCAATGATATAAAAAAAAGTCATCTAAATTATAGGGCAGGCTTTTGCAAGCTGCCCCCTGTGATCTGGAGACCTGTTTGGTTAATGAGTTTTGAGTGGAAGGCAGCCACGCCTGCTCCCTCACACCTTGGCCCTGGCTCCTTCTCAACCCAAGAACAGAGTTGGGGACAGTCAGCCCTCCATACCTGAGGATTCCACATCCACAGTTCAACCAGGAGTGGATTGAAAACATTTGAAAAATTCAAAAATTATGTCTGCATTAAACACAGACATTGCTTTCCCATTATTCTCTAATCGTGCAGTGTAACAACTGCTATGTGATATTTGCATTGTATCAAGTGTTATAAGAAATTTGGAGATGATTTAAAGTATATGGAGCATGTGCACTTTATAGAGAGGACTTGACTATCCCCAGATTTTGGTTTCCACAAGGGTCCTGAAGCAAATCCTCTGCAGGTATCCAGGGATGACCATACTGCAACAGAGACTGTTTGTCTCACAAAGCCTGAAGTAGTTACTGTCTGTCCCTTAACAGCAAAAGTTTGCTGATCCATAGCACATACTTATGGATAATATGGCACTAATGCTGAAGAATATGAATTCAAGAATTTTTTTTTGGTCTCATGGACTGAACCCAGGGGTGCTCAACCACTGAGCCACATCCCAGTCCTTTTAATTTTTAAATTTTGAGAGAGGGTCTCACAAGGTTGCTTACAGCCTCGCTAAGTTGAGGCTTGCTTTGAAACTTCGAACCTTCTGCCTCAGCCTCCCAAGCTGCTGGGATTACAGGCGTGTGCCACCAAGGCCAGCACTGAGGAGAAGTGAGCAGAGTGGGCACGAAATTGCACATACAATATTCCTTGTCAATCAGGGTCAACAGCGTCACTGCCTCCTGGGTGCCTTGGTGGGGCATTAGCTCCTGTCTGTGCGCAGTTGTGACAGCCTCCTCACCATTGTGCTTAGTGAAGGGAGGGTTCCGTGCTCTGGAAACGTCCACTGTGGATGTGCGTTGAGGTGCTCTGGCAGTAAGTATTAGAGAGAAAAAGAGGAAAGGAATGAAAAGGCAGCACAACACAGTGGCCCTCGATCACCTCGGAAACAGGTAATTTTTGCTTTTACCTTTATACTTTTGGTGGGTATTTTCCACACTTTGTCTGCTGTAAGTGAAGTCAAATAGGTGGGTCCCTATGAAATGTATGACACCAATTTTCATGTACATAGTGGTAATTACATATGGTTCAAGCTGAAATTTCATAATCAGAAAAAAAAAAGCGAACAGAACATGTAAGAAAGAGGAAAGAAACTGGTTCTGATGTAGTAGGAGCCTTGGGGCAAAAGACAAACAAGAAGCAGCATTTTTCTTTTGATCAAAAATTGAACGGGGCGTGGTGAGGGTCTCAAGGCAGGGAAGAAGGTGAAGCAATGGAAGGCAAAGAGGTCAGGCAATGAGGCACCCTTGGGACTCGAACTTCTGTGTGGCAACATGGAGGTGGCCTAGAATGTTCCCCAGGAACAGAGGGCACCCCCAGGAAGGCACATCACAAAGGCTCATGAATGAATGAGAAGGGAGGTCGTGGAAAGAAGGCACAGGAGCCCGCAGGGCAGATGAGGTCTCCTCCCCATCCCTTTCTTCCTCTTCCTCTTCCTCTTCCTCTTCCTCTTCCCTGGGTCCTGTCATATGAGGCTTCCCATGAGACCCCAGGTTGGTCCCGCTGGGGTGGAAGGCCCCAGGAGGGTGCCTTGTTGAGGGGCCAAGATGGCCCCTTCCAGCCTCCCAGTGGGCCAGTCTAGACTGACCAAGAATGGAGGGCAGCAGGGAGTGGTCAGTTAAGTGACCTGTTGAACCCTGGCATGCAGCCATGAGCCACATAATGACTTTTCTGCCACAACGGACTGCGTGTGTGACGGGGTCCCATGAGACTAGAAGGGAGCCGGGAGATCCCCATCACCTAATGACATCATGGCCATGGCGACATCTTAGCAAAACCCACTCCTCACGGGTTTGTGGGGATGCTGGTGTAACCAAGCGGACGGTGCTGCTGGTTGTATCACAGTTGTGTGTGGCTGTGTGACACTTGATAAGGAGGCTAAGTACTGTTACTGGTTTGCGTATTGCCTCTCCTTTGCTCTGTGTTGTCATTTTGGATATGAAGAGATGGCCAGTGAGATGCTGCCCACAGCCTGAGACACGGGTTTTCCTCATCTCCTGATTACATCAAGAGGCCACGCCAACTAGCAAGCACAAGGCCCTGTGTTCAGTCCCAGCATTGCAAGAAAGAAAAACAGGAAAAAAGAAAGACCCCACATCAAGCCATGGACTAATATCATGGAGGTCGTTATAATCGAACTCAGTCACATTTGCAAAATGATGAAATTGCCTAATGACATGTTTCTCAGAGGATGCACTGGTTGTTAAATTGCATATGGCTTTATTAGTTCTCTGGGGCTGCTATAACAAAGAACCACAATTGGGTGGTGCAGAACAGTAGGGACGGATTCTCTCACAGTTCTGGAGGTCTGGGTTCAAAGCATCGTCAGGACCCTACTTCCCCCAAGGGCACCAGGAAAGGGTCTGCTCCAGGCCTCTTTCTGAGCTCCTGGTAGCTCCTGGCTTGTGGAGAGGAGCCCCAGCCTGCCCACAGCTTCTTCCTATGTTCTGTCTGTGTCTGAATCCCCCCTTTATCAGGACACAGTCATATTGGTTGCGGGACCACCCGACTCCAACATAACTTCGTTTTAACTAATTACATCCGCAATGACTCTATTTCCAGGTAAGGTCTCATCCACAGATGCTGAGGGTACAAATCTGGGTGGGGTGACACAATTCAATCTGTCATACTGCTTAATGTGAAAACCATTTTTGATTTTTTTTTCTCGGTACTGGGAACTGAATCCAGGGGTGCTGTACCACTGAGCAACATGCCCAGTCCTTTTAATTTTATTTTGAGACCAGATCTTGCTAAGTTGCTGAGACTGGCCTCAAATTTGCAACCCTCCTGCCTCAGCATCTCAGGTGGCTGGGATCACAGGTGTGCAGTGCTCAGTGCATTTGCTTTTATTTCAGAAAATATTCCTTAACCAAGTAGCGAATCCTCCCCTACCATCGTGGCGAAGGAAGTCCTGGCGTTCTATGAGGCCCACCGTCCTGAGTCTCAGGTCTCTAACTCCCTAAGACCTGAGGATCCAGGGATTGAAGAGGTGGGAGGCAGAGCTGCAGCCCTAAAGGCTGTGGGTTGTCCTTGGGGAGCCCTATGAAGAAGTCTGACTCTAGAATCAGATGCACTAACCACACCACCTAATGGGGGCAGATGACCTCACACATTGCCAGTCAGCCTCTGGCCTCCTTGGTCACAGCTTCATGCTTCTGAAGCAGAGATGTGCCTGATAGGATTGTGTGAGGGACCTGTAATAGGCTAAAGAGGGGCCTCCAGAGACATTAAGTGCCAATTCCTGAAACCTCTGCATATTACCTTATTTGGAAAAAGGGTTTGCAGATATGATAAAATTAAGTGCCCTAAAATGGGAAGGTCATTCTCCTAGATTTCCTGGTAAGCAATCACATGAATCCTTACAAGAGAGAGGTGGGAGATTGGCACACCCCGAGAGGGGAAGGCAATGGGACCACAGCGGCTGAGGTTGGAGGGATGCAGTCACCAGCCAGGGAAAGCTGGCAGCCACCTGGCAGAGCCACCTGGAGATTCCCAAAAGCAGATTCTCCTTGAGAGACCAAGGTTTTGCAGTGATGCTGATTTCAGAGTTCTGGTCTCCAGAACTCTGGGAGGATGAACTTCTGTTGTTTAGAGTACCCAGTTTGTGGTCATTTGTTTCAGTGGCTACAGGGGACTAATACAGAGCTAAATGGGATCACCTCTGGGGGGTGCGGTAGCGAGGGTCTTCTCAATGCTTGGGCACTGTAATCAGCCAATGCAACCTCTGTGGCACCTGTTGGTGTATGCTGGCCACCTGGATGCGGGGACACAGATGCTGGGGAGCTTAGAGGCCAGGAGAGCCACTTCAGCTAGCTTGATGAAGGCCAGCAGGACCACACCCTGACTCTCAGGAGCCTCAGACTCTCTTGCCTTTGGGGACTTGTTGTTCTGTGCAAAATCTTAAAATTCTGCCTCACACCTGTTAGGATGACTGCTACCAAAGCAAACAGGCTAAACCGAACCAAAACCCAGACAATAACAAGTGCCGAAGAGGATGTGGAGACATTGGAGTCCCTGTCTACTTCTAGTGGAAATGGAAAACAGTAGGAGGTTTCTCAAAATATTTCAATAATAATTACCATATGATCTACTTCTGACTACCTACCCAAAGGAATTGCTAGCAGGAACTCAAGCAAGCATTTGTAGGCCCATGTTCATGGTGGTTTTATTCACAATAGCCAAAAGGGGGAAGCCACTCAAATGTCCATAATAGATGGATGGATAAAGAAACTGTGGTTTTTCCATACACAGGATAGGATCCAGCCTTGACGCATGTCACAGCATGGATCAGCCTTGAGGACTTCATGCTGCATGAAATGGACCAGTCACAAAGATATTGGATGCTTTCACTTACAGAAGACCCTGAGGATGGTCAAATTCATGGAGACAGGGAGTATAATGGAAACCTCCAGGGGCCAGGAGAGGAGGAATGGGGTGTGTGTTAGTGTTTAGTGGGTGCAGTTCCCTTCTGGCAAGATTAATAAAGTTGTAGAGATTGGCTGGACCACAATGTTAATGTACTTACCATTACTGAATCGAGTACTTAAAAATGATTCAGATGGAGCATTTTATGTGTATTTTACTATATTTAAAAATCTTAGTATTAAAAATAATATTTGATGAGTGCATTAGTATAAAGACAAACTATTATTGCATATTAATACAATATCTATGACCTAAAAGCTCACTTATTTTCCTCTAATTCTGAAAGACAGCTAAACATTTTTGTGGGCCCCAGATGGTATCGCTGGCCGCGCTCTGTGCCCACCAGGCCTGTCGGTGACTTCTGCCCTGTGGGCCAGAGACAATTTGCAGGAGGCCTGGCCTTGCTAAGAAGGGGCTCTAAGGGCAGGTATTAGACCCTGTGCGGCGCCCTCTGAGGTACTGTGGCTCCAGATCCACCCTGCTGACCCCCGCCGCCCCTCTACTCCCTAGACCCTTGAGGCTTCACTCTTGAGCAGCTGCCCTCTGCTGTCCAACACCGCACCATTGGGCCCTCAGTAAGCGATGCTTCTAGAAATGAAGTTTGAGGAAGGTCATGCTCTGCTCATAGCTGAGCTTCCTCCTCTCCCTTCCACCCTCAGCACCAACTAAGTGGATGCGGGGGGGTGCATTTCTCCAAAAATAACAGAGCTCGATGTGCAAAAATAAAAGTCCTTCTTTGAACAACCTGTCGGAGGATCTGTCTGCTGCTCTTAATTCTCCCCGTTGGGAACAATGGCAAAGCTCTATCTAGAAATGAAAGACAAAGGGTGTGGGGGTGGATCGTCCTTAAAGAAAAGGGGGACAGTAAAACACTATGTCCTTGGATGCCCCCTTTCTGTTCCCCAAAATTTAGTCTAGTCAAGGGAACAACAGGAGCAAGGCTGGGGCCAGAATGTCCAGATATTGATATCCCCAAGGACAAGGGCTTCCTCGTGCACACTGGGACCTAGGGCAGGTTCGTGTCATCTGTACAAAGCTACTTTCTTGCATGTTTGCCAGAACAGTTGCTCCTTGGGACGCTGGTCACACAAACAAAGCATGCTAATGCTGATAATGTCACTGTTTCTGTAGCCCAAGACACAAAACAGCTCCCTCAGAAGGGATGGACACAGAACAGAGGGCACTGTGGAAGGGCTGTGTCACTCATCCACACTGCGAGGGAGAGGAGGTGCTGCTGGGAGAGCCCCTGAGGGGAGCAGAGGTGCTACCTGTCAGTCTGTCCCCACTGAACTCTTCTTGGAGCAGTCTCTAAACTCTTGTAAGCATTCTTCACAATCACACACAGTCTCCAGGCACTTTCTTTGGCCTGTCTGCAACCTGCCCCACTGCCCAGGCATACCTGGGTTGCTGACCTGAAGGAGGAGCAGGAGAGTTGGAGGGGGTGGTCGCAGCTGACCCACCTGGAGAAGCCAAAAGTCCAAACTGTACTGTTTTTTTTTTTTTTGTGTGTGTGTGTGTGTGTGTGTGTGTGAATGGTTTACTTCTGAGACTAGTACACACAAATACACTGATCTACAGCAAGGAACTAATAAGTAAAATGAGGTAAATTAACATAAAAGAGCAATTCACAATCGGCCTCCATTTCACAAAACCGTGTAAGTACAAAGGCCCCAGGTTATAGCATTCACTCTGAATTTGTTGCTCCATAAGAATAACCTATATGAGGCTTGAATAATTGAAAATTCCCAATTACGGTTCCGACGCGAGGTTCCCCCGCCTCCTGTGAGTGACGTTCCAGACAGTCTCCCTCACTCCGTCTCAAAGCAAGGGGGACATGCCACCCCTCCTGCCTTTCTTCCCGAACAAAAGCCGCGGTGGCTTTGTCAGGTCCCATTTGGAAACACAATATCAATCTTGCCTTATCCATATTATTGATGGGTTGTGGGTATTCTACTGTAATTATGTCAAAAATGAAATATTTCAAAATGTGATTGGCAGGCTGATTACAATAATGCGTGTGATTAGACCCAGGGCTTGCTTGTGCAACTAGAGAGAATGTCAGTGGCAATTAACTGTTTTCTTTAAAGTTTGCCAAGATTTCTCTTATTTTTCACTGTGTCGTTGTAAAATAGCCCACTGGGGCACCCGGTGGGGGCATCTTTAGTATTCTTCCTTGGAGAAGCCAATGGGATTACAGGCAGGGATAAAAGAATCCTCAACTGCCAGGTGAACTTTCCAGCTTGAACCAGGGACAAAGGCCTTCGGGATTCTGTGTGTGTGTGTGTGTGTGTGTGTGTGTGTGTGTGAAGGGGGGTCACAGCTTTCTACAGGAGCTCTGCAAACACTCAAGGCTACCTCGAGGACCCATGGCCCCAGGAATGGGCCCCAGAAGCCACAGTGGAAGTGCAAACCCCAGTGCCCAGGATGTGTTTGCATTTGGAGATGGAGCCTTTACAGAGGCGACTGAGTTAAAATGAGGCTTTAAGTTGGGCCCTAATTCAATGTGACTGTGTCCTTGCAAGAAGAGGAGACTAGGATGTAGAATGGGCTGGGCTGGCCTCCAGTTCTGTTCTCATTTCAGTTCTGTGAGTGATTTCAGAGAACCTAGGTGCCCCTTTCCAGCTGGACCCTCCTGGGTTCAGTCAAAATGTGACCCTCCCTGCCCCCTGGAGCTCCTGAGGAACCCCGAAGCCACAGAAGGCCTCGCTGACCTGCTCCAGCACCCTCAGCCGCTCTTCTACTCATGGAAACTCTGTGTGGAGAGAGGACTCTTGGCTTGTCCTGCTCTCGCAGGTTCTATCCTTAGGGAGCAAAGTGTGAGTGAGTGAGAGGCCGGGACCCCGAGGTGACCATGGCAGTGGTGCTCTTGGATTGGGGAATGGAAAACTTGTCTCTTTCAGCCCTGGGTTTCCCTGGATCTCAGCTGTCTCATCTCAGAAGCCCCCACCCCCAGGCGGGGCGAGGAGCACCCTCCCCAGGCAACATTCATCTTGAACTTGGCATGTTGGTTGGCTCGGGCTGCTGTCATAAAGAGCCAGAGATGGGGGCCTGAACAGAAATGTATTCTCCCGCACTCTAGAGCTGGAATCTGAGGTCAGGTGTCCCAGGGTGGGTTTTCTCTGAGCCACTCTCTCTAGCCTGTAGATGGCATCTCCTTGCTCTGCCTTCACAGTCATTCCTCGGTGTGTATCTGTATCCTAGCCTCCTCTCCTTATAAGGACACAGTCACATTGGATTAGAGCCCGAGCTAATGGACTCATTGTAACTTACTAACCTCTACAAAGGTCCTGTCTCCAAATGCAAATGTACATTCTGAGCGCTGGGGATAGGACTCCAACATCTGGCTTTGGGGACCCAAGTTGATAACGCTCTGTGACGAGTTCCTCTCAGGAAGGCCCTTGGGTGCAAAGACTCTTATCCACCCCTGTAGGGGGCCCGAGGAATGCATGTTTGTTAACAAATAAACCCTGTGTTAGCGTCTCATGAAACTTCGTCTCACAGGTCTGGAGGCTGGAAGTCTGAGGTCAAGGTGTGTGCCCAGCTACGCTCTGAAGATGCCAGACAAGAGGCTGTGTTGGCTTCTCTGAGCTTCTGGTAGCTCCTTGGCTTGTGGCAGCAGAGCTCCCATCTCTACAAGGTGTCCTTGTGTGTGTGGATTTATGTGTCCAAATTTCTCCTTTTAATAAAAACACCAGTCATCTTGGGCTTGGGTGCATTTTTCTCAGTAGGACCTCATCTAAACAAATTATACCTACAATCACTCTAATTCCCAACAGGGCAGTGAAGGTCAGGGCTCTAACGTGAATTTGGGAAGGCATAATTCAATCTCTACAAGCCCTTTAGGCTCCTTCTGCTGGAGTTGGGGACACTTTGCAAGTTAAATACCCACCTGGTCCCTTAACACCCCTCAGGACAGATGAAGCAAATCATGTTACAGAGACAGGTTCAGAGACTTTCATGAGCGCAGGTATCTGGTCACAGAGCAGGGCTTGGGCCTCTCAGAAAGTGACCTGGTGAGGACATTCATTCTAGGGCCTGCCCTGCGTCTCCTTCTCCTTCCTGCAGAAGTCCCCACTTCTAACAGAGGCAAAGGTGAGGCTGGGCTTTGCCTTTGGATACTCAAGGCAGACCTTGAACCCTGGGGGGCGATGAACGGCTTGGAGTTCCCCATGCCTTCCCCGAAGGCAGGCTTTGGCTGGCGAGGCTGTGGCGGCTTTGATTTGACTCAGGAACGTAAGAACCCACCGCAGAATTGGTCCTGCCGTGGGAAGGGAACTCTGCTAATGCTTTCTTGTCATTTGGCTCCTGGAATCAGACTCGATTCTCATTAATTAACAAAGCCCATCTACTAACGAGGTTCTCCATTTTGAGTCTCTGTTTTCTCCTGGGGTGCTTCCAAGCTCTCCTCTCAGAATGGTGGCTATACAGTGACACCAGCTAGGGCAGAGGACACAGTGACAGTGTACCACCTCCAGAGCTCTTCTCCCCCAAGGATGCTCTGCAGCTATTAACGCAAACTTTCTTTCACATGATGTTTTAGTCAGTTTTTGTTGTTGTTGTTGCTGAGACCAAAGACCTGGCGAGAACGATTAGAGAAGGAAAGTCTATTTGGCTCAGGGGTTCAGAGGGCTCAGTCCACAGAGGGCCGACCCCATAGCTCTGGTCCAGGGTGAGGCAGAGCATCATGGTGGAGGAAAGCAGCTCAGGACGTGGCACTTAGGAATTAGAGAGAGCTCTGCTGACCAGAGACATGCCCCTAGTGACCCTCCTCCTCCAGCCACACCCTACCTGCCTTCAGTTACCACCCTGTTAATCCACATCAGCGGATAAATCCATTGATTAGACGACAACTCTCCTCTTGTAATCTGATTATTTCACCTCTGATATTCTTGCATTGTCTCATACATGAGCTTTAGGGGGACTACTCATAACACAGGTATTTTCACTAGACTGGGTGCCTTGGGCTTGTCAAGTATTCTGTTTGTCTCTTGCAGTGTTACAAACCGTCCACAGAGCCCGTGGCATAAAACAAGAGTGCCATTTTATCATAGGCACAATGCTATGGGTTAGGAATGGGGGCAGGGCCTGCAGGACAATGGTGCTCTGGGCACCATGGCTGGGCCTCGTTGGGTTTGGTCTGAAGGAGTGGAGAAGCCCGGCCTCTCCCCTGGGGCTATATTACTGGACCTGGGCTCTGGTTGCCAGCACCTCAATTCTTCTCCACGTTGTGTTCACTAACACCGCATTACCCAGACACCGACATGTCTGACAATCGGCTGGGACAGCTAGGACAGCTGGTTGGACCATGTCACCCCCTCCACCTCACACCAAGGCCTGCGAGTGCACTACACACACACGTTCACATACATTCATTTCTTCAGTGGCCTCTGGAGTCTCTCTCAACACAAGCCTCTTCATGTGGCTGGCTTGAGCCTCCTTGAGGGCAGACTCCAGAATGGGACAGCTGGCTCTCCCGGGAGACAGTGTTTAAAGAAGACCAGGTAGAAACTGCAAGGGTGTCTGACTCAGGCTTGGGAGTCACACAGGGCCTCTGCTCCACATTCTGTTGGCCTAGGAAATTACTAAGGCCAGCCCTGATAAAAGGAGATGGAGAAGAAATTTATAGGCATCTTAAACCTTTCAAAGCACATCCTGCTATTAACCATGATCAGCTACTCCAGCCCGTCTCCCCAAGCCAACTCCACAGGGGCTTAGGATGCTGCTCTCAGCCACACGTCTAGCCACGTCACCCCCCACCTCACACCAAGGCATGCGAGTGCACCTACACACACACACACACACACACACACACACGCACGCATACACTGTCATTTCTCCAATGGCCTCTGAAGTCCCTTGGCATGCGTGGCTCAGGAACTTCTTCATGGCCTGGCTCCTACTTACCTTTCCCCTCCTTTCTCCTTATCCCTACTCTCCAGTCTAAATCCTTACAATTCCAGAAATGCGCCACCTTCCTCTCGGTCTTTACACGTGCTGCTTTCATTGCCTCCCATCTTCCTTGTGTCCTTGGGCCAGCAACCCACCTTTAGAAGAAGGCTTCCTCCCACCCCACCTACCCTCACAAGGTGCATATTGAAATACAGACCTTTTCACGCTTGAGTCCACATGTCTGTCTTTCCTTTTGGACTCCGACTTCCTTGTAGCCAGCTGCCATATTCTTGCACGGGTTCTCTCTGCATACACGGACGTGGACTGCTTTAGATACTGTGGGTGTGTGCATGCGTGAAAGAATCATTTTGGAGCAGTGAGCGCTGTGGCCGAGGGAACGGCTTCATATTGGATTGCCCCAGTGCTAGCCTAGGAGATGTCAGCAGGAACAGCAGAGGTAAGAAATCGCTCAGAAACTCCACTTGAGCTTCTGGAATCTTGTAGCCCTGCTCTCTTAAGCACGCTCTGCCTTCCTTTAGCCCTGTGGATGGTGATGGGTGTCACCCAGGGGAAGGCTGTGCTAGGTGAAATAAGTTTGAGAAGTCTGAGGTCAATCCAGATTGATTTTCCCCTTTGACCCTCAGAGTTCAACATGTTGGTGGGGATCCCTGGCAGAAGGCACAGGATGTACGTTTCCCGTACTTTCTTCACTTTGGGACACTGGTGGGACCTCTGGGCCATGGCACATGCTCTGGGAATGTTGTTTAATCACTGTGGCTCCTCATTGCTGCTTTGCTCATAGACTC